CCCCAAAACCCCAAAACCCCAAAACCCCAAAACCCCAAAACCCCGCGAGCTTATAGACCACATTCTAGGTGATTGTAAAATAGGGTTAAAATTTATTTGCTTATAAATGAACTCACTTGCACAAAAGATGATGGAATTCGAAACTTAATTGCTAGGTTAAATATTTTGTTAGTCTTAGTAGTTTCGTTGTATAAATGCAGCAAAATTTTGGCAGAAAATATCAGAAAATCGATAATTAAATTATGGTCACAATTTAAGGTTTGATAATTGATTAAAGTGAGATAGGAAAACAATAGTTTAGAATATGATTAAGTGATTGTTAGCCTGATTGTTTGCAAAAGCGATTTTATTTAAGTCTTATTATGAAAAAGAGAATTGGATATGTAGAAATATAGTTATATATGCAAGTCCAACGAACTCATTCCCATAGAGGGACCAAATCTGCCAGATTTACACATCGATACTGTTGCCGAGGCTGATTTCTCAGTCCAAGCATATAGTCACAGAGTGTTTGATTTGTTCATGATCATATTTTTTAGATCTTGCCATTCTTGACGAGAGGGTTTTCCTTGGCAAGTTTCTCCTGTTGTCTCTGCTTATAGTCAAATTCACAGGCGTGTTCCTCAGCGTAACGATGTTTACCACAGAACACATAGTCGCACTTGCAGGCGAAGCCTAAAAGACCCACCTTTCGCTTACATGACCAACACAAGTTTTTATTTGTCTAAAAAATAGATTAGTTCATTCATTTTATTCTAAGGTGATAATTGTCGGTCGAAAGAATGAAAATTTTCAGAAATTCTTACCTATACTTATTTGGTTTCAACAGCTGGTTAGTTTGACTGTGATAGATCTTGCATAACTTGGTCTTCATTAGCAGCTTATTTCACCTCCTCCTAGAAAGCAGTGATCTCTACTTTTTACTAGGCAATTAGAATAGGTTCAATGAGATTAGTTGGTTGAGATTGGTTAAGAGCGAAAGCAGCAGCCTCTTAAACCTTCTTTTCAGCAGACTGATTCTACTGTTCTTACTTCTGAGACTCCTTGAAGCACTTGGAGCACATAAAGTTAGTGTCGTGGTTTCCGAAGAAAGTCTTGCAATTACCGCAGAGGACTGATCCATTATTGTTGTTCTTTGATTCCATGTTTCTTGAAAGCAGTTGTTTGAATAAAGTGAAAATTCTCAATAAACTAATTAATTATATTCACTCACTGAATTAATTCTTAAATAAATTTAATTTGGTTAATAATTACAATTAGTATACTCTTATATTAAAAATCACAGCCCAATAATTAAAACACCAACATCATCCCACGCTCACACTTTATACCTCATTTCTGTCCTTTAGTTACACATTTATCTATTTATTCAAAGCTTAAGTTTATTTATCATTCCTCAATTTCCTTTTATTCTCTTTCAGATGATTGTACATATTATTCTGAAGCTAGTATAAGATCTTGTTCATCCTCACTAGAGTTTTATTCCTTTGTTTGATTATTCTACTCCATCTATCTCTACTAATCTTAGTACTGTGACTCATTTCTCATTAGCTTTTATACTAGCTCATTATCTTCAGGATATGGGTCTGTATCGAATATGAAGTTTTTAGCTAGCATTCTAATGTGGTCAAGTCTTAATTAAATCTAATCCTATGATTCCAAGTATAAATTCCATAATTCCTCTTTAATAAACTTTTAAATGACATTGCTCTCGAAATGCTGATCAAATTTATCAATACCTTCAAGTTGATAGACATTGCCTCTTGTAATAAAATCCAAGCATATTTCTTTCAGCTATTTATCTAATAAAGAGGGTTCAGGCATCTTTTTGAGATTTCTAACCATATCAAAATAAGGACTCTGCAGCAAGTTTTCAATGCTAGGTCTCAATTTATGATCAACAATTAGCAACTTTTAAATTAAGTCTTTAGCTTCTTGAGGAATTAAGATATCAGGATATTCTTCTAGCCTATACTTAGCTACTGTACTTTAGACAAATATCAAGTAATCACTTTTACCTCTGAAAGGAAGTAAACCAAGATAGAACTAGTATAGAATGCAGCCTAAACTCCAAATATCACTTGCTAGGAATGATCCCTGATTTCTAATACATTCAGGCGACATATATTATGGAGTACCAACAAAGTTCAAATGCTGGTGTCTTTTCGGATTGTCATCAATCCTCATTGCCCTTATTTAAGAATTTTAGATATCTTCAGCTGACCCAAAATCAATCAGCTTTACATGGCTTTAGTTATTAGTATAGAACATATTCTCAGGTTTAAGATCTCTATGTATAATCCCAATAGAGTGCAGCTGCTGAACACTTTTGCAAATTTCGTAAAAGGTATATCTAATGATTGAATCATTGAACATTCCAAAAGTTCTGCAGTATTCCCAGAGCTCATCCTTACTGTTTAGAGCTTCAGTCAAAAAGTATAAATTTATGCCATCTTTAAAGGTGCCAATTAATTTTACACAAGGTAAATCCTCATCTTTGATCCCTTTATCTTTGCAATCTAGCAATATCTTATTCAAAGCATGCTTTTCCATAAGTATATCTGTTTCTTTTCTTAAGTTTGATACTTTTTGTGAGTCACATACTTTCAAAGCATAGTAATTTTCAGGGTATTTTTTATGCAAGACCTTATATATGTTAGTGAAATTTCCAGTTCCGATCTATTTTATTACCTCAAAGTCGCTAAATTTCAATGTTTTACTAATTTTTTCTAGTTCTTGATCTACATTAACTTGGACTTTACATTTAGATTTGTGAGAGGGCCAATCTTGTTTTTGGCATTCTACTGAACAGTATTAGACTTATTTACACTAAGAGCATTTTTTGGTTCCTTCATTATCACAACTATTGCATTTATTGTAGGTTTTATCCTCTTTTATTTGGCTCTACTGATCTATGGATGCTTCCATTTAGAAATCAAAATTTAAAGTATTATATCGTTTGTTCTATCATAATCTATAAAAGATCGAAAGCTTGGGGTTTTGGGGTTTTGGGGTTTTGGGGTTTTGGGG